CGGGTGCTGAGCTCCTGCCTCCTTCCCAGCACGGAGGTGGTGGCATCGCTCGCTTGGTGAAGCCCAAGGGGACAGAGAGGGAAGCCGACTCGGCGAGGCCTGTGCCGGTGGGTTCTTGAGGAGGAAGCAGGTGGCAGAAGGTTGCAGGTGCTCCGGCTGCTGGCCCAGCACTGCACGAAGATGGGGTGCCTGCCAGTGCCAGCCAGATGGCCCCTGAAGAGATGGCTCAGGCTCGGGCTCATCGTGCTCTATTGCATTACTTTGGGTAAGTGAAGCATCCGCATCGTTGTTCCCTCTGCGAGGGAGGCATGCTGTCTTGGTCAGGGCCAGCTTGTGCTTCTTGAGTTCCTCTGTCATGGCAGAGATGGATGAGGCATTCTTACAGCCTCTCCCTGGCTGACAAAAATGTTCCTGGCTGCTGAACTTCGGCTGTTGAGGTGGGAGGATGAAGGATTCTTGTGGCTCAAGCTTGCTCCATGAGGAAGAAACGATGTGCTGGGTCTGGGGGCAGAAGCAAGCTGCTGGCTCCTGGGCTCCTGTGCTTGAGCAGTTTCTGGAGTTTTTTGGGTAGCTGAAAGCAAGTCTGTGGTGGGGAGACAGGACAGGGCGGTGTGTTGTGCTCTAGCACAACAAGGGGTCCCTCAGGTAGCACAGCTCTGTGTCAGAGGACAGTGATGGCTGTCCCCAGTATGGGCCACAACATTCATGAAAGCCCACAGATCACCCAGACCTCAAAGGGCTTGGGTTGATTCTTCTGAGATGTGTGAAATGCTAACCTTATAACCACACAAAGCTCACTCCTGAGCTGGGATTTGTGCTCACAGCCTGTGCTTACCGGCAGTCGTGGTGCCTCACTGCAGATAATGAAACTCTGGAGCAAACCGGGGCTGAACTGGGGTTTGATTAAAAATCAACTGCTGCAAAATAAGGAGGTTTTCATGGTGGTGTTGTGAAACTGCAAGACATTTGATACTCTCCGCTGGGTTTCATTTTGACTTTCACTCTCAGAATCTTAAAACAAAACTCAGAGAATTTAGCAGGGATGAAATCGCGGAGCCAGCTGGTGAAAAAGCAGCCTCTGGACCCCTCCTGTGAGCTCTCTGTTCTCATGTCTTCCCCACACTCCTTCCATGGCCTCTGTGCTTACAAAACACATGTCAGGCATGGGCATATTTTGCCCAGACTGTGATCAGCAAATAATTCATCATGGGCAGAACTGTTTCTCCGTCTGTAATTTAGGAGTTTCTGGGTTTGTGTTATGCTATTCATGTAGTAATGTGTGCACATTAATCATCAATCCTGTAGATTTTCTAAAAAGGATGCAGATTCCAAGTCCAAAGACAAGTAATACTTAGATATACAGCCTGATGCTAATCATCAGTACCAGGAGTATGAGTTTGGTAATATCAGCAAACTAGCAGTCCTAGTGGTTAGTGTAGTTTTTCAATATGTTTTACTAAAAGAATGCTCATTCGTCCTGCTGGCCTCCTCTCCAGCTTTTTCTTAGACCTCTGCTCATAACTTCTGAACTCCCTGCGCAGTTTCCATCACTGCTGACAGGAAGGCAGAGCTGGAAGGGCTATAGCAGGGATGCTGTGGGCCCCTCGTGCCCAGCCAACAGCATCTGGAAGGGGCTGTACCAGCACAGCAGCACTGAGGGGATGGGAATCAGCTGGAAGGTGTGGGGAGAGGGCTGGGAGACACAAAGCAAAACTGCATTGACTTTGGTCACCCCGTTGCTGAGAAGAGTTACTTTTCTAAACCTGATTGATTACAGAATTGCAGGGTTTGATTTGGCAGTGGACAAAAAGCTGTTTTGGAAGCATTATGTCAGCTTTCGGGGTGCAGTTGTTAGATCCTTCCCACACAATGAGTTTGTGGAATTCCTGGTGCTGGCTGATAAGGACAGCACAGCCGACATGCTTTATTTCTCCCTTTGTATGCATACATACAAACCCCGCCACTCTTCTCTCCCAAATGGGGTATTCCTTCACTGATGATCCTTAAATCTCCATGGTACGCTATCACACGTGAGCCTTTTCAGGACTTGGAGGTGCTGCCTCCCCTGGCCCTTCCACAGGGATCACAAAGACCAGCTTCTGACTTTCTCGTGGCAGAGCAGCGCAGCCCTAGGAGCTGCCACGGCCCTGCCAGCGACTTCCTGCAGCGCTAAGCAGGGCACAAGGGCCAGCAACTTCAGAACTAATCTCACCTGATGGTATATGTATATAACTATCTATCTATCTACCTATCTATATCTATGTATGTATATAAAGATATAGATAGATAGATATACATGTAACTATGTATACCTATCTATCTATATTTATATAAATCGAATTTTCCTGCTCTGAGGTTCACCTGAGGTGACCTGCTGAAATACCACTGTAATTTAGAGCTGCTCCTGAAATGTCATCTGCTGCTGGAGATGCTGATGCACACGAATGCCCTGCTGTCTCAGAGCAGTGGAAAAGCAGCAGAACAGCCTCAATTACAGCCTTGATTACAGCGCAAAGTTATTTATTTATGGTCTATTGCTAGTATCCCTGTGGGCTTGTTTTTCACCTGCCATTGCACCTTCACATCTACCTATCGCCTGAAGGATGGCTACGTCCTCCTTCTCAGTATGTGGTTGTTATACAGGGAAAACATCACTTAAAGTAGCCCAGAAAGACCTGCCCCTGCCCAGTGTGCCAAGCTGGCAACGGTGCTGATGGCAGGAACGAGCCACCCCATGTCTGGTCCATGGAGAATTTCTTTTTGGCTTCCCTGGAATCTTTTCAACTACCAGAGACTGTCCAGTTTTTGGTTCTTCCCAGTTATTAAATCTTTGGGAAGTTTTGAGGGAAATTCCTACAGCTTGTCAAAATTATGGTAGAGCTGGGGAAGGGAGGGGGGAATATTCACTTTCCACAGCATGGCAAAGGAATGTTTGCTCACATGTAACTCACTCTGGAAATCCCCTTCACATCTCACCACAAGTAAGGAGCTCAGAGAGGACCTGGGTTTCAGAAAGGAGTACCGAGGGTAAGGAAGATTCTCTGTTTCATGGCCTCCCCTGAATATTGGCAGGCTGGTAATGAGCACCAGGTGCTTTGTGCCTAATTGCTGTGCCAGCTCCAGCATGGGGTGTGCTGAGGGCAAATTGCATGGCGGAGATGCCAGAAATTTTTCTATGTGTATGAGATTTGCCCACTTCACCAGTGGATGCAAATGGAGTTTGTGTCTTATTGCTCTTGCTGTCCTCTGTCTTTCTTTTTTTGGATGAGTGTCTGTCTCCTCTGGCTCCAGATACTCAGAAAAGTCTTTGGTTTAAAAGCAAGAGCCGCAGAACTGAGGAGCTCCTGTTTCTGCCCGCCTGTCTATCCAGAACGAAACCTGCTGTAAAGCCTGTCTGAAGAAACAGAAACCCAGCTAAGGCTCCTGTTCTTCTTTATAGATCCCGCTGTGCTATTTCTGGATTTTTTGAATGAAACTGTTATTTGGGGGAGGAAAAAATATTGAACAGACAAGCAAAATTCTTACACAGTCAAATCATAGTTACACACATGTATGGAGTTTGCATCGGTCCAACATTTTAACCACATTGTGTCCAACTAGATCAGAGTGAACCCAATTAACTCTGGTCATCACTCTGAGGCCTTTTTCCTTTTCTTGGAGCACCGAAGCATTTGTAGTCTCTTTGTGATGTGAATGTCAGACATTCCCGCATTTAAACATGCAAAGTTTGGGGCTGAAATTTTTACACCCTCAGGCTGCCCTGCACGCCCTCAGCCCTCACGCCGCTCCAGCTCACTGCTGCCTTGAGCTGAGCTGCAGCGTGGTCAGAATGGTATAGGCATCCTGCTCCCGTCCCCTCGCTGATGCTGTCTCTGGCCCTTCTCTGACCATGGGGTGAACTTGTCCAGCTCCCAGCCTGCCAGAAAGTCTCTTTTTTTTCCACTTGTTTCCTGCCAACAAGGCACACTGACCCAGCCTCTAGGGATCCCTTAAGAGAAAGCCACGGAAACACATGGGGCTGGAAGGGAAGGGGGAGCAAGGTCTCCTTTTTCTGTGTGAGAAAGCTGCGAGTGGGGCAAGTTTGTCATCCAGCTGCAGCTGGAGACCAGACTGGAGTAGAACTCCCATGATCAGGGAGCTCCTACTTCTTTTCTAATTGTGTTTCCTACCTTCATGCCTTAAACACAGTGTTCTTCATGATGATGTGGCAAGGCCAATACATTAGACTCACTTAAGCTTGGTGAAAAAGTCGGCTTTCTTTTTGTGGATATGAACTGTATGTTTGATTGCGGCCATTCTGTCCCCTTGGAGGGGCACCGCTCTCAGGAGTCTCAGTAGGTCGTCTGAGAGTATGTAAATCTTTCCCAACACAGAAATGCCATGAGCTTTGCTTCTGCTTTTTCACTGTTATGCTTTTAAAACATCATTAGTCCCAGGGGACTGCCTGGCTAAAAATAAAAGTGCTGAGTGCTGGGTGGCACCTCCAGCTACGCTGTGCTCTAAAGATGCCCGTGCCTTGGTGAGCCCCAGATGCTACCGTGTGGTATCAGGGGCACCTGCACGCTGCTGCTCTGCCTGTGGCAGGGACCCTGTGGTGTAGCTGCATGTAGCCAACAGACAGGGCACACCTGCACGGGTAAATGGTGCTGTGGCTGTGGACAGGTACTTCAGAAAAAATAAAAAATGATTTCTAATTCTGAGCAGGCTTACGTTAAAGGTATACTGCTTGCTTTTTGTGGTTGCTGGGCACTTTCACCTCCTGTTAGTCTCAAGAGGGGCTGGCTATGTGGGGAGCGTGTGAGGCAGTGAGGTTTAGAGAGCACTGAAGGAACCGGGGCCTTCGGCAGTGGGGAGAGCTTGGCTTCCAAAGCTTTACTGTGAAGACTGCAGTATTTATACTGGCAGCATGGGAAGAGTCTATAGAATGATCTGAGGGCATCTCCAGCTAGGGGATAAATACAGAGGAATACGAAGTCGTACAGTCAGCAAGGGACACGGTCTCTGGGGAAAAAAATTAGCGAGTTTATTTTTGTCTTCGTGTGCTACAGATCCCCCCCAAAGGCCTGTCTTACACAACTGCCACATCTAGTTTCTGCTGGAACTTGGGAATCATAAGAGTGCTCAGTCAGTTGCAGGAATTTGATCTCAAAAGGAACTAAAACATGCAAATCTTCTGCGGGCATCCACATTCAGTGTTTCCCCTGCCTTTTCCTCTGGCTGGGTCACCCGCTCCCAGTACTGGGAATGGAGAAGGGGAAGGCTCAGACAGACTTCCCTTTACTCCTTTCCCCAAGTCAGAAATGTCCTTCCGTCCCCACCGCCAGTGTCCCTCCCAGTGCATGCCAGCAACACATAAGCATGCCCTCCACCCTTTCTTCCCCATGAAACGCCCATGTGGAGGACTTTGCAACAAAGGGGGAGATGTCAAGAAGCTATTCAGTCAACGCCATCATCTCCCAAGTACTTTTCAGCCCCGCGCTCAGATGGCCTGGCTAGTGCTGAGGTTAGACATGTACTAACTAAGTTGCAGTGAGAGGAGTTGCGGTCTTACTCATCTTATAAGCAAAGCAGACTGGACATACCCAGGCGGTGGGCTTGTCCCAGCTCAGGGCCCGCGTGACTCAGAGAGTGGCAGATTTTTATCTCAAGAAGTTCCCAGACAGGGCTGGGGAGAGCAGGAACAAAGGGAGAAGGACTGGTTGGCTGTCGTGGCCCTCGTGCTGCTCTGAGCCCCTTCATCAAAGCATTTCAGATTCTCCTTCTCCTTCTCAGTCACTAATCACAGATCATGGAAGTTTTTGTCATCGGTGGAGTTCCTTTCCCATTAAAGCCAGGTTTATGACAGAGCAGTGACTCAGTTACAGCATGACCTCCTGTGCCATTCTGGATGCTTTCATGGCATGGAAGGAGGGTATGGAATGCCTGTAGATGCAGGAAGGTCTCTGGTTTTCACAGCCTGAACCATATGATTTCAAGGATTTATTCTTTAAAGGCAGTTACTGATCTGTTAGCAGGAGTATGGCTGTGAAGACAGAGGCATGCAGAGGTGGGGAGCACAGCTCACACTGCCGTTACACTGCAAAAGGAAGCAGAGCTAAACATTTAGGAAACCTCTTCCAACCCTCTCCCTGTCTCAGGCCTGCCATGACATCAATGTAAACTAGGAATAATCCTCCCCTCTCATTGCTGTGGCACACTGTGTAGTGTGTAGGAGGAAATGAGACTGAATGGATCTGCAGCCAAATGAAGTGGGAGGCAGGTTTTCTTCAGAATACAAAGGAGTTCTCTGCTCTCCCACCACATCTGGGATGAGTAACTGAACATGACCTGTTAGGAGGTCACTGTGACAGCAGCTAACTGAACACAGACAGCAGCTGCTTTGCTTTGCCAGAGCGGTGCAGAGCGGCTGGTTTAGCTTAAAGTATTCATTCCAGTATTCATGCATTGCACAGGACATTTGCTATGAAAATCTTGGAAAGATTCAGATCTCTCACCAGTAAAATCAACTGGGGTAAAGAACAATGGGGAGTGTTCAAGCCCCTTGGAGATTCAGTTTTTCGAAATTTCTGAATGTTCAAGCTAATATAAATGCCTGACAGTTTGCCTGAGAGCTTTCTGCAAAACTGCCAGCTGAAGAAGTGTGCAGATGCACTGTCTGATGTGCTGCCCCCAGAGGGGCAAAGTTTTCTGGGCCCACCAAGCAGGGTCTTTCCCTATATGTGGGCTTGCTGAAGATTTTGTGAAAGACTAAAGATGTTGGTTAAAGACCCAAACGGCCTTCTTGCTTTCTGATTCTCAGAGCGTATAAAACCAATGCCTTTCCTCTAAGCTCACCTTTCTGTTCCAATTAGCCTTGCTTTGGGGGCAGCTGCAGCACAGCAGCAGTTTGAATGGAGCATCTTCTCTGCCTGGGGAAAAGGGTCAGCATCGGCCGCACACTGCAGGCTGCCAGCAAGGGAGAAACACAAGCACACAGCGAGGGAGTGGGTGGGCTTCACCAAGGGCAGGAGGGTGGCTTATTTCTTTTTCTAAAAAAGTAATTAAAAATTATTCCCATGGCGGATGCCTCCCTCACAGCCTGGCTACGGAGGGTATTCAACACAGAAATGGGACAGAACTGAGCTTTCATTTTTGCTTTGCAGTTCACCTTTAAAGTGAAAGGGGACTTTTGTGGGGCTGAATGGCTCTTCATGGACTTTGATTCCTGCAGGCCCTCAGCGCTCAGGTTGCAGTTTCAAGGCTGCAGCGCCTTGTAAGGGTAGATGTGACATCAGCAGGAGTTTCCAGCCCTTGTATATGTACTGCCACGGAGGTTTTTGTTCTCCTTTTGGCAGCAAAGGAGACTCTTAGGGGCAAGGCACAGAGAACCTCATGCAACCCATGATGTGCCATCACACTGACATTTTCTGTACGCCTACTCTTCCCCTGTTGCTGCAAAAGGAAATAGAAAATAAATACATACCCAACTGCATTGTCGTTTTCAGGATCCACAATCCCAAAGTTTTGCTGGCTGCTCTTGGAGGTCTTGCCTGCACAATAGCTGAACTGTGCGAAAAAGCAAAGATGTGGTTGAGGAAAAACACAAGCAGACCCACACGCAATGCCTGCAGACACACAATGGGAGGAACTTCAAGAATCACAGCCCAGAATGGGTCACCTGAAAAGCAAATGGAAACAAGTGCTTTTTCACACAGTGTGAAATCAAACCATGCAACTCACTGCCATGGGATGCTATGGAAGCCAAAGATATGTGTGCATTCCCAAAGGGCAGGGACTGCTCACAAAAGGTAGCTACATCAGTAGTGACTAAGCTGCTGATGTCAAGAAGTCTGTCAACTTGTGACTGCCAAATCTTAGCTGGTATGTCACACCTTGGCTTGAGCAAGAACGGCTTTTTCTACCATTTTCTGCCAGTGACTGGCTGCCACAGGCCAGTGGGCTGAGTGGGCCAACACAGGTCAGTAAGCAGACACAGATCAGTGGGCTGAAACAGGTCAGTGGGATGAGTGGGTTCCTGGTCTGCCCCTGCCTGGTGGCTCTGGTCTGCACTCTTCATAAGAGGAAGTACAGGTAGTGGGGAAAATTGTGTCTGCATCTGTCAGACCTTTCCTTTTGGAAGATCGATGAGGTGGCTAAGTGGGGGAGGGAAACAGCTCAGTGAGAATTTATTTATTTAGCTTCACATTCAACTTCTTGTAATGGGTATTAAAACATCCTATTCCATTTCCGACGGCTCTGATGTAAAGCAGGCAGGCAGGACAGGGTGAAAGCTCATTTCAGGTTCTGGTCTTGGGACTGCTAAACATCAGCATGCAACACACAATGCTACCTGTAGCAGAAATGCTAAGTCACGGCTTGAAACAGTGACTGAGCACCTGGTGGGAAGGCAGGACCTACCCAGGGGAGCTCAGGTGCAAGTAATGCAGCTGAGTGACTGGAAGGGGTGGAGCCAGGATCCACCCCTTCTCAGATCTCATTTAAGGATTGGCAGTGGAGGTAAGGGTAGCTTACCTGGGGATTTCAGTCTACCTGGGATCTTTTGTGGGTGAGCAACTTTTTTTCCTTTGTTTTTCTGTCCCCTGCTTCTGCATTTGGGCTTCTCCTTGCTTGCTGCAGCCACCCCACTGTTAATCTTGTGCTTTCCATTCCATTGTGGTGTTGCTCTACCCAAAATTAGGACGTGCTGGGGCACTGCCTGTCTCTCCCAAGCACCTGGAGGCTTTCAGAGCACCTCCTCAGGCCCACCAGGCACAAGTCAGTATGCCACATAGCTGCTGGTTGCTTGTGGGTATCCCTGGGATCTGGGAGTTATCTCTGACTCCTGGAGGTAAGTGCCAACAGCATGAGGCTAAGGAAAGCAGGACAAATATGAAACAACCCAATCTTCTGAACTGGGGTGTGTAGAGGATGAGCATCATTCCAGAAGCTGCACCGGCCCAGGATAAAGCAAATATACCTGCCCTGGCCTTGCTGCTGCACAGGGTTGCGTATCAGTGCTGTGTTGGCAGAAGCTCCTGGCTGGGCTGCACCCTTGTGCTTATGGTCCTGGCACTGGTGAGTACCCACCCACTGGAAAGAGGAAGGAAAGTGGGTAAGCAGTAATGCAAAATGGAGGATTACAGCTAAGCAGGTCAAAGTTGTCGTAACTTCCCCCCTGCAAGGGTCCCAGATTGTTATCATAAGCACACGCTTGTGTGCTGAGATATGACACACAGGCAAGAGCAGTTTAGGAATGTCTGTCCTGGTTTGCATGTAATTCAAAAGGGGGCTGAAGGGGAGGCCCACAGGCCTTCAAAAATACAAGTTTGTTTTAGCTAGGTTATGCAAAATTGATAGCTTGTGAGTGCTGTGCTAATACAGTGATGAAAATGTCTCTTTCTGCTCTTCATTACTGCAGGGCTGTTTCTGGGATCTTAAAATGGTTGGTTTTCTGTTGTCGTTGTTGTGCTTTTGTTTTGTGTGTTTTTTTTTTTTTAACAATAAAAAATAAAAACACAAATCAAAACCTACAATCTATTTATCTACTGTGGCCCTGTCTGGAAGCAGGGAATGCAAAAGAGTTAGGACACGGACTTGCTAAACACTGAGCAGAGAAGATAGCAGATGGGCAGTGTGGTGATTTTGGTTGTGGTGTTTTTTATTATTATTTATTGATTTTATTCCTTCTTATGGCTGTCATGGCAGTTCTTTACTCTGGAGTGTTGTTTTCAAGGTGCCACAGTTTCTGTCCAGGGAGGCAAGTCTCCTGCTTTTGCCTTCAGTAATTAACACTGAAACAGTTGTGTGCCCTAAGCCTTAAGAAGGACTGGAGCATCGCATGAAAAGCATTTGCAAGACAGTCCTCCCTTCAGTGCAGAGCTGAAGATCTAGACTGCTGAGCAGATGAAGGGCTGAGGTACATTAATGGGTGCAGACTGAGCTGAAATAGGTGAGCTCTATGAGGAAGACCTTGGCTTAAGGCCATACCACTGTCTCAGTGCCTTTTGTTTGCTCCTCAACAGGCTGTGCACAGGAGAAGAAAGTGGCCAAAAGCAAAGTAGGAGAAAAAGTCGGCCTGCCTTGTTGTTACAAAATTCCCAGCTCAGAGAGCCTGCAGAACTACCGCGTGTATTGGCAGATGAACGTTACGGATGTGGTGCTGGCCTACTCAGGGGTGCAAAAGATCCTTGAGCACCCACGCTATGTCAACCGGACAAAGCTGGACTTTGAGAACCTCACCCTGTGGATCTCTGGTGTGGAAATACTGGACAGCGGCCCTTACCAATGTATTGTTCAGAGTCTCCAGTCTTCACCGGACAAACCTGGATCTCATCTTCTGTGTGAAGAGCCCGTGACCCTCTTTGTTACTGGTAGGTGGGTTGCCTCCCCACATGTGAGGCTTTCTAGTGCCAACCTCTAGGGAGAAGGGATATTCCTTGAAGCTTTCAGCATAGTGTAGCAGAGATGCTTTCACCATGATGCCTGAAAGAGAGCCAGAATGTGCATTAAGCCTCCTGTAAGGCTTTTCTGTGCCACAGAAACACTTCCTGGGGACTGGCCTGCACATGAGCTGCACAGCAGCTCCACAAACCAAAGCTGAGCTTAACTGAAGATTTGAGGCTTCAAAGAAACCACTCAAGTTCCTCATCCAAGTTGCTCAAAATGAATCTGAATCTTCTCTTGGAGGCTACAAAAAGTTCCACTGACATGATTTTCCATTTGCACCACTGTTTTTCTGGTGGTTGGTTTCAGCCAAAAGCAGAGATACTGATAAGATGCACATATATATTTATATATACATTTGAATACCTTTAGCAGTAGAGAGTTCCAGAAATCCTCCAAATAAGTTGGTGAAGGAGCATTCTTCCCCCTCCTCAAATGAAATTCCCCAGCAAAAAACATTCCCAAGCTTCTGAGATCTGGCCACTGCTTGCTGACCCAAGTGGATGAATGATGGACATCTGTGCACGGAGTCACATTCTGTTATCTTTATGGGAGCCAAGAAGAAAGTAGGGAACTGGACTGTCAGAACCCTCTAATGGAGAGGAGTATTGCTGAGGGCTGAGAAGTTAGCCACATGAAAAATGTGCAGCAATGAATCTCTTCTCACCACAAACACTCTAATTTCATGCCTTCCAGAAAAGCTCCTTTCTGTTTTATCAGAAATAAATGATTAATGATTTACTGTAGTCTATAGAAAAAGAGGCCAGGGCTGGAGGGAGAATGCAAGGCATAAGAAAGGCCAAACAGATTATGATAGTTGAGGGACATCTCATAGGAGGATCTTTGCTTTCACCATGGGTTTCTAAATGTTTTCTAAATGTTTCTTTTTTCAGCTGACTTCAGCAAGCCAAACATAGAAAGAGAAGTAACGGCTAGTTCATGTGAATCAACAGAAATGGTGGTAAGATGTTCTTCTCATGGAGGCTTCCCCAAACCCAAGATCTACGGAGTCCTCAACAACATGTCTGTGGTGTTGAATACCACCTGGGAGTCTGAGTCCAGCCTCAGCCCATACAATGTCACTGGCACACTGTGGCTCAATGTGTCCAAAGATATCAACTTCACTTGTTTCATTGAATATGATGGCTTACTCACGTCCACCAGCTTGCTTCTAGGTAGGTTTTCATACTATGTAGGTTGCTCCAAAAATAATACCTCCTATTTCTTTCTGTGGAAGCTACAGCAGATACAAAGAGCACAGTAACACTAATCAATAGCTGAGAATTTGCTCTATGAAACACTACTTTTCAGCTTAGTCATAACTAATAGTTATGCATTGTTGCCAGTGATGAACAAGAACCTGCATGCTATGGCCATAAAAATCTGCACCAGCAGGGGTGACCCTCTGTTTCATAGCTGCTACCAGTGTAATTGCTGACGTGCACCACCCACTGCCTCTTTGTGTTTGTGTGTGCTTTGGTCTCCATAAATGTTCATCAAGTATTGACATCAATGGCTGCAACTTTTTCTACATGGAGGAATTACATGACACACCTTTGCTTCAAATGCCCATCCATGTCAGATGTCATTGCCTCAGACTGCCTCTCTGCTGCCATCTGTTGCGTGGCAACAACATGTAATGGAATACTGGTGGGAAGGTTCAGCCTCTACTGCCATGATGTTGTGGGCCAATATCATAAAGTAGGAGGTATTACTTTTGGAACAGCCCTTGTAGTTTGTATTAGAGAACTATTTTGTTGAACCTGCTGAGTTGCCTCTGAAGAAATGGTAAATCTCTGCATATCTGCTGATATGAGGATGACACAGTGGTTCCATGAGCAGCCCACCAAGATAGTTCAATGGCTCTTAAGTTGAAGGGTGGAGGGGGAAGATGGAGAGGTGAGTTACATCACTGACTGGTGAATGAGCAGATGGCTCACGCTTCCCATTGCTCCCTGGTGAATCACAGCTGGGTTGACAGGGCATTTGGATCCTGCTGTGATCAGGTGGCATCAGCCCCAGTGGCTCTCACAGTTTGGGGCTGCCACTACTCAGTGTTCTTCTGTACCAGCATGGTCTTACTGTCAGTAGTGTGACACAGACCTGATGTTTGAATGGAGGGACTTGAGAAATGTGTGTGCCTCAGAGGTTATGATTACAAAGAATTTCCTTACCTCATAAGCATGTTTGTTCCTGCTTCAGTGACAGAAGATGTTAGCTGAGGGACCAGAGAAAATACTGCTTTCATACACATTTAATATAGAGTTAACTCAAACAGATAAAATTCCATCACTTTGTTGGGCCTGGAAGTGATAATGTAATAGCTTAGTCTGTCCTTTGGAAAGCTTGAGGGACGAGTGGAAACAGTATGAGGCAAGGAAGCATGCTACAGTCTACGTGTTTTGCAGCAGAAAGGGAAGAATGGTAAACACAGGAGGCAAACTCTGCATTGGGGGATGTATGAGGCCAGATTGTACAGCAGGTCAAAGTAGTATCTTAGAAGCTGGATGATGCTTAATTGTGCTAAATGTAGACAATGAAAATCTGAAGACATATGAACAGATACTCAGTGTGTCCTTTCTCTTAGATTAGGATTGTCCTGTACCATATACGTGGTCTGTTATCTACTTGTATTTCTAAGTGGTGGAATAGTCATCCCCAGTGGTGAAAAGCCAAAAGATACAGACCCACTGATGCTGAACTGTCTGAGATCCTTTTCATTCTGTGTTGAGAATGACACCTCCAGTCCTTTAAATGCATAGAATCATACAGTTACCAAGGTTGGAAAAGGCCTCCAGATCATCCAGTCCAACCGTCTATCTACCACCAATATTTCCCACTAAACCACATCCCTCAGTATGACATCTAAATGTTTCTTGAACACCTCTAGGGACAGTGACTCCACTATCTCCCTGAGTAGCCCATTCCAGCACCTGACCATTCTTTTGGAGGAAGAAAAAAAAAAAAAAAGACATTTTGAAAAGATGAAATGAAAGGACATGTTGTTTTCCACCACCTGTGAATCCATAGAGGGGAAAAAATAAGCATAAATTTGGATAAAACAGTAAGAAATACTGTGGAATGTATTTGAGAATGGAAATTTTCTGGATAAGTCTTTTCCACTAAGACTAACCAGCTACTTTAAGAAGTACTTAAGTCTGTCCAGCATTTTGGATTCTGTGGTAGTGACAAAAATTTCAGTATACAGCACATGGAGGGAAAATGAAGGGCTTCTGTTGATTAGATGCCAGCATTGTCTGTTTTCTTACTGAATAGGTGTATTTTCAGGCTAAATATCCCAGTTAGAATTTGGCTTGAACTACCATAATTGACGTGCCTGCTATTGCATGAAGATGACAAAATGTTGTTGGGCCCCATACTTACGCTTTATTTCTTCTGTCTCAGCAAAAGCAAACGACTGCATTGTCTCTACTGCACTTCCATCCTATAATGTCATTACTGCTTCAAGTATCATCATTATCACCTTCCTTTTGGCTGTCAGCCTAGCAGCAAAATACCTCCCAAGGCATGGTAAGTAAAGCTCCTTTTTCCAGAAATAGTTTCTTACTGCTTACTGCATTAACTATGTGAAATACACATTTATAGAAACTATACTGATACACTAAGTATTTTTGTACCTTCCTCTCATTTCTTTTTTTCTTTTTTTAATGCTGCATCTACTGTCACAAAATCTAAGCCTAGCTCAGGACTTTCCTGTATTTTGTGTGCACGCAGCACTAGGGTTCCAGGTTGACGCTCTAATTATCTTGGGAGTTTTGAAAGAAGGTCAGACTATTTCCAAAGAACGGAGTTGTATTCAGAAAGGTTGAGAGGTCCATTTTTATGCATTAGGATGCTTGAAGATGTCAAGAATCTTTGTGAGCATCATCAACACAGCTGAGCACTAACAGTTTCAAAATGATATCTGTCTCTACGCCCTACTTGGACAATCTCTCAGAAAAGTCACAGAGCTAATATTACAAGAATGTATAGTGCTAGGGCTACAGAATAGACTTGAGCACCGCAATTTGAGCACTTTTAGGAAAAAAAAACAAAAAAAAAAAAAAAAAAAACAGTAATCAGGAGTCTTGTATTTGTCTTCTTTGTTGGTCCCAAAAGAGCAAAGGTGAGGTGCCCTGCCCAACGCTATGAAGTCTTCAGTAATCCAGACATGTCAACAAGTTTTGTGATTGCATAGAGGACCTCAGGTGGCAACTCACTAGATCTCATTAGATAGACATGACTAGGAGCAGCAGCTAAGCTGGCCAACAAGAAAGCCCCTGAAGATGTGGGCATCTAAATCTAATGGATTTATAAAGGCTGGTAGGGATCCAGCCTGTACAAAAAGTCAACAGCAATATATGTCCTCTCTGCACCCTGTTGGTAGTTTGGAAGAGCAGTGCTGCAGAAAGACAACAGGCCTTGCAACATGTTATAAATATCACCCAATTGAGGTCTGTCAGGTCACTGGAGAAGTGAAGGTTGAAGACAAACTGAGAGCGCTCTGTGTTCAGCACACTTAGACCAAAAGCCACCAGGTTGAGTGTATTAACTCATCATGATCACAGTGGTATCCCCCACCGGAAACAGGTTCATACGTTAGGCAGCAGGGACTTGGCTCACTCAAGAACACTCGTGAGTTCATCATCCTCATATCTCGTGTTATCTCTATTTCCATTCTGAGCAAGGTCACTTGCAAGTGAGAATAAGGAGGCAACATTACTGTGTTTCTTCCCCTCCTAACCAACCACAGCCTTTCAAAAAACTATGTGACCGTTGCATTAGGCTGGGCTGATTACTCCTCTGTGCTTTATCACCAAGAAAGGAAGCACCTGGGGAAGGCAGAGACCCTTAGCAACACCTGTGCATTTCCTCATTTTCCACTCATGTCCCTCTTTGACATTACTGCTGGTTATTCTCTGTTGTGCCTTGGAGCTGTGTTGATGGGAGAGCAGTAATCTGTTTGAAAATATGAATGTCATGACCAAGCAGCCTGTGCTGTTAGCTGCAGGGGTAATGAGCTTCTAATTACGGGAAAA